GAAAATTGACCCAGACTCGTCCCTTAGAGGGCGTTGACTTGTTGGTCGCGATCCGTAATTTCGATAGAACGATCTATGTCCTGGCAACTGGCATCTGCTTATATACTACATTACCTCACATGGCTGGGTCCCACGCACAGACTCTGAGGTATCGATACATGTTATGGTAAGTTTGTAATAACGAATTATCCGGCTGCGAGAAGCAACATAAGTGTTGGACTTCTTAATTCAAATCTGTTCACCGCATCGTAGGATATCATAAAAGCAGCATCAGTGAGCTGCATGAGTTGGCTTGTTAAAAAGGAACAGTTCATCACTGCAAAACAGAGTTTGTAAAAGAGCGGTATTTCTTTGCAGGTTGTTGAAATCAGTCACTATACAATATTTGTTACGGAGTTTTGCGACGGTGGTGATTTGCTGCAAAAAATCAAAAAAATGAAGAGAGTTCCGGAACCGGAAGCCAAACTCCTTTTTCGTCAGCTCATCGAAGCACTTATTGTTGGTTTCATTCCATTCTAAACTCTGTAAGGAAGATCCCTTCTATGAGAGCAAATTTGCGCTACCTCAAGTGACCCCACGTCAGCGATAGGATGGTGTGTCATTAGGTTTACCCATATTCAGCGAATCACTTTGTATTTATTGATTAAATATCCCTTGGAAATTTCGAAGGCGTGAAACATGTCCTGTGGAGTAGCATCTGTGGTATTCCTAACACCAAATAGAGCCGCTCATTTGCACGCTTCCTTCCATGGATTACGCCATTTTTTGTAATCCCTATTTCAGTGCCCGTCTTTTGCGAGTAGAGGCTTATCAAAGGCAAGCCAAGCAAACGTTCTCTCAAAGAAAAGGGTGCACCGCTGCTACACTCTGTTCGGGTTTAGCTTTTTCCCACGATTGTGGACATCTATGCTCTGCCTGACGCTGTTCAAAGAGTGACTGCACTGTCTGACTATTGTTCGCCCAAGCGCTTCCGATGTAACAAAGTGACAGTAAAAGAAATTTCCGTAGTTTTAAATATGTGGAATTCTATTCACTACCCTAAAATCCCATAGATAAGAGCGGTCCATAGATATTTTTTCAAAAATAAAATAAAAATAAAAATATTTTTTCAAAATCATTTTTTACCGGTAAATTAAACCGCTCTTATCTATGGAATTTTACTGATCGAATGGGCTCTTCAAGTTCTATCCAGAGATCAAATTCCGGCATTTCTAGAGAGATTCCGGCAGAAATTCCGTTAAAATCGCTATTTTTCTATATGAATTGTTTATTAAGTGGGCGGGGTTTAGAGTTGAGGGACGGAGCTTCTTCTAAACTTCTTCTCCGATTTTTATTTATCCATCCATCAAGTTAGAGGGGTGACTGCATTCAATTTCAATTTCATTCCAATTCATTTTTCACCGGTAAATTAAACCGCTCTTATCTATGGGATTTTAGGGTAGTTGTGCGGCGATTCACTCCAGAATACCAAACACCCGTTCGCAGTGGCACAATGTCTTGATTGAAGATTCTTATCTGGACAACTGAATAACTCTGACCTCCTCTTCCAAATCTCTTGCCTCTGGTTTACGAGAACCCCAAAGCGGGGCTTCACGCAGAAGGCCGACGCACAACATTGCGAAGGCAAACACAAACAGCTTGGTGTCGACGCATCCAATTTGAAAAGCGAAGCAAGACAAAGTTTGCATTTTTGGGTGGTCGTCTAACCTATACCTCGCGAGGAGAAATCATTAAAAAATTGCTCTCGGCTGACATTTTGACACTGCGCTTGTGTTGCCCTCTGACCTCGCTTCCAGAGTGGACATCATAAATTTTTTAAACCTTACCTCTCTAGTGTCCTTCCTCGTAAAGTTGCACTAAGTGACACGATCTCAAGAACGACTACATCATTTTATGATCATGGAATTCTACAGGAAGCAGCAACTAACGCCCATGCTTATTCAACGTGTTGTAGTGATAGTATATAGTGATGGAATGGATGAATAAGCACTTCGGTGAAACAACAAAGAAATCAAAATCAAAAATGGCCAACGTGATTCACTAACTGTGGGGCAGTCCAATGCAGGGGCCATCTTTCTAGAAGTCACAGCCTCATGGGTTGGCTGATTTAACAAGGAAATATCAATGGAGGATGATTGTTTTCATTTTCAGTACCTGCAAAAATGTGACATCGTTCATCGAGATTTGAAATGCGAGAATGTATTCCTTGATCGGTATGAGAACGTCAAGCTGGGTGACTTTGGATTTGCTCGCTATTTGAAGCCACACGAGAAAGCGAACACATTCTGTGGCAGCAGAGCTTATGTGGCTCCTGAAATTCTTAGAGCAATCGCTTATACAGGACAGACGGTGCGTCCACGATAAGAACCGGCCAATTTGAAACCGTTATGCTAAATTCAAGATGGGCAATTCATCTGATGAACGAAAGGATAGCTCCTTCACTTATGTTTAGATCGATATCTGGAGTGCCGGTGTAGTTTTATATGTAATGGTAACAGGAGTGATGCCATACGATGACCGAAACCCACAGAAAATGGTTGAAAGACAACTTGGTCATAAAATACGGTGAGCATAATGGAAGAATTACTAAAAGCACAGAAGCAAGGTTTGAAGCTCGACTCCGAGCGATAAACTCAAAACTCATGACAAACTTACTGAAATGGTAACCATGCATTATATTGCATTTCAGATTGTGAGGAAAGAACACTGTTTCTCGATCTATTTTATCTCACTCCTTATTTGCAGCACAAAACGCACCTCCTAAAGTGAAAGTAGTGCATTTACAGATTCCCAAAGATAGAACTTAGCATACAAGTGAAGACGCTGATCTACGAGATTCTGCATCCGTATCCACCGTCAAGACCTACGTACAAAGCAATATGTTCAAGTGATTGGTTGAAGCAAACGAGCTACACACTTAAAGGGGTACTGTTTTCATTATTGATATTGTGAGAAAATTTTTGAAAATCAAATACAGGGTCGCTAAAAAGCACGGGCACGGGCCAGCAAATTCCCCTTTCCTCTTTTAATGGAGAAGAACGTTCCTCTACCCTCACACGACATACAGTCCCGAAATGTTAGAAATCATAATGAAACAATTATGGTCTTTAAAATGGAAATGTGCGTGTCAAACAAGTTTTGGAATTCTTCGTTCCCTCATCATCTATTCCTACTATTTCAACTGTTTGCATATTTGTTGTTCATATTACCTTTAATTTAGTTTTACCTTGAGTATTATGTAACTTTCAAAATGAATTCCATGTAAAAAGGAAACATTATCTCCATAGGAAAATTTTTTAAACCCTACAGTCTAGAATACGAAATTGAAATTGTTTCTCTTTAGTTAAAACTCTACGGAAGCATTATTATCGAAGAGTTTCTAGCGTTGTTGGAGTCAAGCAAGCATAAGGAGAATGATATCTTACACAAAATGTCCCCAAAAGCGAATTTGTAAACTTTAAGTGCTCCACGTGTGCTTTGTACATATGTCCCGTCCAACCGACATCCCCAACCAAGAAACTACTTTTTCGGGTTCTCGGGTCCGGTCAATCGGAAGTCTAAGGCTGGTCAGCATCGGCTGGACCTGGCGAATATTATAGAAGATGTCCCAACAAGGAAATCCTGTAAGGAATCCCACCAAGTAATTTGGTCCAGTTCACAAAGTGTAGACTACACTTAAAAGTCCTAAAAGATGTTCAGATCAATTCAGCATCAACAAAAACGATGCACTTTAGAGCTACTCAGCGAATTGTTAATTCCTCATGTGGATTCAAGAGCTATTTTGCCGAATTCGCTTTGAATTGGAAGTTTCCAAACTTTTGACGCGCCATTTCTTATAAAAATTCGTATTTTTCAAATGCGATTTCAGTTTTCAAAAAATTATGTTACCCATCGTAATCTACACTTGATTCTGTATATAATATGTGAATTCGGGACAATTTCGTTGTCTATTGGCTGCGCTAGATCAAAAACAAAAAAGTTTCCAAACTTTTGACCGCTACTGTAGGTACTTGTACAGAGTTGTGAGCAGTTCCCAACAAAATCAGGCGATCTTTGTTCATGAATGCACAGGACATCTGGAGTGGAGGGGCAGGCGTTTTCGCTCCGAACGGAACTAGATCTGCCTCTTTGGGCAACTATCTAGCAAATTCTCAATTTTTAACTAAGCTCAGAAGTTTTGAGGCCACTTATCCATTAATCCATCACCGAAGACTTGAAAAGGTTGGAATTACCTTTCTAAGCATACTTTCTAAACATACTGAAAACAAGGCATTTTTAATTACAACCCCACAAATGCTTTCGATGGTAAGTGTCGAACCTCTGTGCAAGTGCGCGTGTAGTTTGGAGAGGGTTTGACTCAACGACGAGCTTCAGTTCTTCGTTATACCCAGCCTGAGAACGATGACGACGCTCTTTTTCCTCAAAACAGTCATCTCTATCCTGGAAACGCTGAAACCATCGCTGACACTGCCTCAAAGATGGCACGATTGCGTGCTGAAATGGTTGCGGACAGGATACTGACGAATTCCGCAGCGGCGTCCCTTGCTTAAAGGAGGAATTCACGATTAGAATGGAGGTCGAGAAGAAGTAATTGACCTAGTTGAGGGACCCACGGACCTCCTGAGGGTGCGAACTGATGCGCAATTCGCATCGAAAAATTTGACCTCGGCGACCTATTATGCCTCAAAGTTGGCGGGTCTGGCGATCTCCGCCCACCGACCAGCTGATCACTCGCCGCAGATCTATACGTGGGATTGATTTAGATAGCAGAGAGATGTTGAGGAGGGGCACACAGCGATAAGGAGTCGCAGTTGTATGTGCCTCAGGAGTCGGTGTGTAAGGAAGGCGGATCCTATTTCTGCGGGTTCTCGCGGCGTTCCTGGAGTGTGTGGTTCCTTCTTTGTTGTACCAATCTACATCCCTGAGTTAATTTGAAATGGTGTTGAGTCGTGTTCCGTGTGGGTGGTGAATGTCGCCTTTAAAGTCGATACCACATGGCGTACGGCAGCGATTGTACGTTCAATCATTCGAACAAAAAGTTTGGTTGTGATATACAGACGTTGTCGCGAGATTGTGGGCGGACTTCTAGTAGGTATGCGCTCAGACCCTCTTTCGAAGATGCCGGTTTAACGTGCTTAGTGAGTTTGTGTTTTAGTAAGAACTACAGACCCAGGAAGGAACGACCATTCAATCGTGGCCAACTATATGATGCAGGTTAGAGGCGGAAGATTGCGTACAGAAATAGTTGCACCGGATTGCGCTACACCGGTTCTTTTCAGTGGAGTGTGAGGTTGAACGAAGAAGATTGGGATGCGGTTAGGCGGGGGCTTTTTGAAGTTTTTCACTAGTTTTCGAATATTTCTTGAAAATTGTGTTCATTAGCAGGATATGCGAGGAAAAAAGCGAAAAGGTTCAAAAAGCCCTTGTCCAACCAGTTTGTTCACCACAAAGCACTACACGGTCGTCACCCAGTCCTAGAAAGCAGAAGAGCTCACTTCTTCAGAGAGATGGAAGGGGAGAAGTTTGAGGATTTCACGAGATGTTGCAAGCAGCTCTGCTTGACTGCGATGTTCTTAGTGGTTTAATATTGTCATGAGCGTGTGTGCGTGGATGTCAGGAGCTGAAGTGGTGTCAAGTCAATGAGGTTAGTGATACTGGAGCGGTCGCAGACAGCAGAACGATATTTTGCGGACAGCATCGCGTTGAGCTTTAGATATTCAGTGAGTATTGTCACAAGTTTGAGCGTGTTGCTCGTGTTGCATGAATTTTTCTCTCTGTCGCTCGACATGCCGTGCTTCGATTTAGGGGCGGGATGAAGTTATATCAAATCCAAACACTATATCGATACTGTGACATACAGATCTAACCTTCATACTGTTTATCCAATTGTTTTTTATTCCAAATCAAGAAGGAGAATTCACTAGAATGAAGCGTTTGCGTGGTGAGAAGCACTTGGGATAGTTTGTGTGTTTTGAGCAGCGAATTAGTGCGACAGTTTTTGCTCGGACCCGCTATCCGCGCGCATCATCATTGGTAGGCTTTAGCGAAACTGGCAAGAGCTGAGGCCAATGAGATACTCCATCATAACTACCTCATCTTATTGGAATGGTGGTGCAGGACCTTCCCCCAGTTTGCTGGAATGTCAATCGGATGAATAGCGCGTGATTAAGCTGAACTGACATAGGGTTTATCGTTTCGCGGGCTGTAAGTACACCCCAACTATCTTCTCGAATTCAGACTAACTAGCGGTGAAGAGATTTCATGTCAGTCGCGGAAGTGGCAAGTAAATAATGTCTATTTACCAGGTGAGGGAGCTTAGGCCTTATCTGTATTACAGGTTGTATGTCATGGTTTAGGAATCCGAAAGGGCGGCAGAATGGATTGGGGCAATATTGATCATATGCTTAGAAATCGTATCTCGATCTTTGGTTTGAGAATTACTTGTATATTTAGCAAGCATTATTAGTGTGTGCTGCTTCTTGGGTAGTCAATGTGCACGTACTCACGTAACAATTGAAATTATGTGAGTTATGGTGCACTTGAGTGTACAACGCAGGAGGTAGAATGAGACTTATGCGTTTTACGCGGCTTATCCACCTTTATCAGTGTTACCACGGTTTCTTCATCCCGACAATTCTCCCACCCATTAACATTTGGGTAAAGTATGGTTGCTCTGGTGTTAGAAACTAAATTTAAACATGGCGAGCAGGTAACGGAATCGACGACTTTTGCGTTCTAACGCATCTTATCAGCCCTTATCAGTTGCTATCGCTTCCATTCATGTACCACCATGTCCCGGGACCACCCCACATAACACTTGTAAGTATAGACGCTCTAGTACCAATATGAACGACAAAACGAAATTGGCGATGCTCGCTTTCTAGCCCTCTTATCAGCTATTATCAGTCGTTATCAGTTCCTATCACGTACCACTTGTGTCCCCATCCAACTCCCTATGACATATGATAGCGAGTGGTAGAACGCACTGCTGACTCGAGGCTAGAATTTCTGGTCAAAAACATGGACACACAACACACACACCAACAGACACACTTAGCCGCTTATATACAGGGTGTCCCAAAATTACTTGCGCCTATTTATTGCAATGCCTTTCCAACTTCTGGACACAGAATGACAATTGAATCCAAACATTATTATACTAACATCATATACAACAACATGCTAGAACTAGATTTCAGAATGTCCTCCAGCTGCACAAGTACAGGCCCAGAGTCGCTTATAGCACCGTTCTCTCGTTGCACGCGGGTATTCCTTAGGCATTTCTTCCCAGGCTTCCTTTGATGCTGCGTGCAATAACTGCAGATTTGGAGGTTGAGCTCGGAATGCCTTGCTCTTAATCACGGACCAGACTGAGAGTTCAGTGATTAAGATTAGGGGAGCAATAAGCTTATTCCTCGCGGCGACCGACTCGGCCAGCTCACAGCTTCCACCTGTCTTGAACGAGCTTGCCTCCGTGGGCTGAAGCGCTGTCCCGCTGGAAACACCACGGCTTGCTTCCCAAGGTGGGAGTTGGACCAAGTCCTCAATACGTTCCACTGTATGCACGTCCTTGCTAATCTTCACACATTAATCGGCGAAATTCAAGCGCGTCTCACCATTGGCCGTGACTCACCTTCAAATCTTTACTGATGCCGGATTAGCCGTTCTTCCAGCAATCTTTCCTCGTGAGATGGCACTACCGATATTTCCACTAAGAATGTGGTCGTTTTGACGACTCAACATCGGCTCCACAGTGAGCATGCACTCAGCAGGGAAAACGATCGAGAGTTGCGTGTCGGCAGTGAAGCGCGCTAGTGACCTTCCAACTTTTTGGCCCTTCTGCTTGCTTGTTGCTGTACGAAAGGAACTGGCACTTCTGCATTGTGAGAGTACCATCACTGCAGCTTTACCCTTGACAATGCACCCCATCGATGACTTCGATACATTCAGCGATCTCCCATCCTTCTGATGGAGCACCGTGGATTGCTAACCAACCATTTTAATCATGCTGTCCGCGGAACGCTAAACATACTTCTTCACCCAGACTTGTCAACGAATGTTCCTACTCTGCTGCATCGCTCGACTACCATCCAATCAGTCTTGAGGGGAAACACAAGAAATTAAGCAATGTCCTTCGATGCAGTCCCTTCCTCAGGCATGTGACTGATTGCAGGTCGCATTGGATCACCTCTTGCCATCTCGGAGATACTGGCATTAAAGATGCAGTTCACCAGAGAACCTTTCTCTAAACCGAGTTTTGAATTTTGGCGCAGTAATTTTGGAACCTGTATAGCAGGATGTTTGACTAGCTAGATCGTCATTTTGGCCCCTTCCTCCTTCGCGTGAGTTTTCCACTTAACTCAGTAGTAAGGAGTGAAGAGTGGGATGAACTCTGGTGGACGAATTGAGGTTGCCAATTTTTAGGTTTTCGTCAATTTTTGATTTCAAATATCAGGCTGGAAAGTAAGTTCGAGTAAGGACCATCAATCAACAAGACGACCACCTTTTAACTTGACTAAAAATCAAAAATAATCCTATTGGGGACACGTGCATCTTGTTCGGACAGCTCGATCCTTTCTTCCTGAATTGTAATGGCTGCGACGAAAGAAAGTGAAACAGGAAATCTCGTTTTGAGTTAAGGGCAAGAATCAAGGATTAAATTGACGGGTTGATCTCCACCCAAATGTGGAAGTAGGGAGGAGAAGTGGACCGCCAGTGAGAAGAAAAAGGAAAGAAATCCTGAAATACACAGGAAATATGAGCATTTTGCTCATGCTGTGGAGATGTTCAAAAGACAGGCAGGGAGATGAGAGATAATGTGAGCGGAGAGTGGTAGAGAAGTCCGAGAAGAGAGAGCATAGCAGATCAACGCAGCGACGCAGACAAGATATCGAAGGTGGGCGGACATGTTAAGGAATCTTCGCGGAAAAAGCTCCGCCTCCATTACCACTAGAAAAACGATACCCCTTAGGCCCCTAGCCTCATGAGCATAGCAAAAAGAACGGAACATAAGCGTTAGTTTCGATAATACTAATCCTACACACAAGACAAAATGATCACTCTTTCCGTGGAAGATTCCTTTAAGGTATCGTTTTCTGTGGTAATGAGGGCGGAGCTTTTTCCGTGGAAGATTCCTTAAGTTTGGTGGAGTCTGTTAGAAGTCCATGGCGCCTAGGGTCCTAGTGACGCGTTTCGATGTAGAAAGGTGGCGCTACCTTTGCACTTGCGTACCCAGCACTTCTAGCCATGGTAAGGGCTTCTTAGGTGGGTCTGAGCCCGAACTTTGCCTTTAATGTCGATCTTTTACGTGCCTCAATGCCGTAATCAGGTATTGATCTGAGGCGCAAGTTCGTTGAGTAAGATGATTGCGGCAGCACTTCTTAATGGAGTTCCATATTCTTTCAACCAGTTGACTAATGTGGAGTTTATACGATCGTGATCAAGCCTTTCATTTACGACTGATTTTTTAAACGCGTTATGAAAGTCATCGGCCCTGTTTGGGTGTAAAGAGATGAAGAAGAGGGTGGCAAGTACGTGCAGCTACAATGCATTCTTTGCTGTAAGGAGCAACGAGTCTCAAAAAGAAAAGACAGGAAGAAACGAAGATAAAGAAGATTAAAGGAATCTTCCACGGACCATGGACCAGTGGGCGGGACCGGAAGTGGTTTTGCGACGAAATGCATGGTAGGTACGGATCCACGTTCATGGGAAGGTTTGAAGTGAATCCTGTTCACGTTCGTGCGTTCGACACGTGGATCCGTACCTACCATGCATTTCGTCACAAAACTTCCGGTCCCGCCCACTGGTCCATGGTCCGTGGAAGATTCTTTAATCGCGTCTGTACGTAACACTGAGAATCCTAAGGAAGTGTATTAGCACATGTCTAAAGCATTAAAAAACAGCTTGTAAATACTGAGTATGCGATCTATCATGTAAAGATTTCCACTGAGGCAGACGGTACCATAATTTGGATGTTGCGTGGGAAAATGCCTATCATAAAAGGATACAGGCTTCTGAGTAAACGAGACATGGCTCTTCGCGTGAACGACGCCGGGCGGCAGCTCCCGCCTCCAGAAGATGGAATCAGCCTATGATTGTTTAAAGGTGAGGAGTGCTGGCTATGGGAAAGAAGAGTCGATATGCAGAGCGAGGCGCTCACAGTGATAACGCGTTCCGGTATTATCTTCTCCTGCGCGGAAATTCAATGGCAAGCAGGGTACTCTAGGTAATATGGTTTGAGGCCGCTTTACTTAGTTTTGTTCTTCACTGCTGCACCTCTTAGTAGCTCTTATTCATTCCGGGAGTGCCACCAATTTGTCGTAGCATCTCTCGGCAAAAGATGATACTTTTTGCGAACGTGAAGCGAAAAACAGTAAGCACTATTCCTTTGGATGGACCGCCGCAGGGGGGGGGGGGCGGGGGGACACCTAGGACTACTTTAGCGCGGGGTCACATAACTGATAGCATGCTTGTCCGTGAGCAAAAGGTGGAGTCACGACAGTAGTCCTTCGATTGATTTCAGTGCTAAGTGTTCTAGTATAATACATTTGAAATACTCAATAAAAGTTGAAAGCATAGAGTACCATGACACCATGGTTTGTCATGACAAACCACTAACTCTGAGAATAAATGGAAAAATAGTAGACACAGACTGTTTGTATTATTGTTATTATTGTATTAATGTACCATCAGTGTGCTAAAAGAAGAGTACGCATAATTTAGCACATAAACTGATTCCTGTAAGAAAGGTAACGCAAGAGGAACAAGAGCAAATAAAAGACAAACTTGCTGACTGCCTGCCCGTACTTCACCATCCCGAAAAGAATGACGCCAGTATATGCGTAGAAGAGGACCAAGAGGAACATCGCGGTGATGATGAAGAATGAACGAAACATACCCATCACAACAGTGAGCATCAGCATTTTCAGAGTCGAATTTCGACCTGAAACTTGTGCAGTGAGCATCCTGGTGCAAGTGTTATACGCATTCTTTTATGTATCCGAGGTAAAATCTGAACTCACTGGCAATCGTGAAGAAACGCAAAATCACAATGATATAACCGAAGGTGTAGGTGAAAGGTTTTCAATCTCTTCTGGGGTGCCGGATCAAAGGAGCTGGAAGGGACAGCAACAAAAAAATGCAGAAAAATCCACAGCAAGCCGAATACGGTAATGAGTAGATCGATCCGATTACGACGAGACTGCCAGAATCCGGCAAACGTGAATGCCAGCACTTTCAAGATGATCTGGAAGTCCTTTGATTTCACAGTTGAAAAGTTCACATGTAAAAAGGTACATGTAGGATGCAACGAAGGTAATAATTCAATTCGTAAAGTCACTGTAACGGCCAGCTGCAACTCTTGTGGACCGCTTCAGCATCGATTGTACAGGTTGGTCAGAAAAAATTCAGTAATAAATTAATGATAAAAAATAATGTGGCCGAAAAGTTAAGTAAGTCATGTCAGGCTCATGTTTTCGGCATTATGGCGCGTGATATTGAGTTTAGAGATGGGAAGTGGAACGATAGTGAAGAAAAAACGAAAAAAAAACTGTCGACAACACCGAAATCGAAACCTTTCCTTCTAGCAGTGAAGGAGGCTTGCTTGGGGGAGAGTCACGTCCAAACGAGTTTTCCGGATATGCCAGCCGTTTCATCGGTTATATGCGCAATAACTACTATCTCACACTTTGGGCCATAACACGCACAATCCGCGTGTGCTGCGGAAATTCTCGTCAGCACAGGCAGACAAATGCAAGCCTGGAGCATTCCGCATTCTTTGTCGCGAACGCCTCACGACCCCCTCTCTTCAACCCACTTTTTCACCCTATAAAAGGCTTCTAATTCCTAATCCTGATCGTGGCTTTAAGAATCCTTCACGAAAATCATCATTCTATTTCAGCAGGAAAGCCTTGCATAAAATCATCATATACGACGTCCACGGGAAGATGAAAATGAGTAAATTATTACTTGTTTCGGTAAAAATAAAAAACAGAAGGTGTCACGCATTCAAAGTACGCGACATCTGTCACAAATGTTGCTCGATTGAATTTCCCTTGATTCTTGGGCGTACTTCACTAAAAACGTCTGTCTCCTTTCATGTTTCACATCTCAAATTCCATCATTCTATTCTATCAATCATTTGTCTTCTACCTCTTCAAATCGCACGATTAACAATCTCTTTCATTGCGTCCTTCTAGTAGCCGCCCAGTCGGCCTATATTTCATGTCCGCCTTTGCGCTCCTAATTACTTTCGCATGTCATACAGGGTGCTTTGTATGCTTATTTCTTTTCGGAAACCGATTCATGCGTGAAATTTTGTGTGCTCTTCCCAGTGATCACAAATGATGAACTCATGTTAAAAAAGAATGCAACAATTTTTCGCGAAGGATTCCTTTAACAACATCAGCGCAATGGTGGAGGGTATTACAGGAAAATATATTTTATCGAAGTTGAAGCACTTTTATCTAAAATTTGGGGAATCGTAGGAAGCTTTTCTAATAGCGACTGTCCAAATTCTCGATTTTCCTATGTCAGTCTTTATAGTTCGTCACCAGTTTTCCAATATGATGACATCCGCGACATTCTGTTGGCACCAAATGGGCACTCTTCGTATGGCGCTCAATCTTGCTTTCAGCGCTCGCATTCTCCGTAGTTCAAGATGGGCACTCATTCCGACAAATGTCAGGAAAGTGCCTCTATATTGGTTGCAAATTGTCAAAAAATCGGGCTAATGGAAGAGCTGTGGTGATAATTCCCAGCTGAGTAAGAGCGACTGTTGTATGACACTCAAGTATCAGAGTAAGTAAGTCATGCCCTTTAAAGTTCCTTCTTAACACAGCTGAGTCCGTAGGAGTTTAAGATAATTCTTATGCCAATTTCATATCATGAACAGCAGGAGTTATACTCGATATCGGTGAGTTGGGGTAGGCGTGTCACCGGAAGTGACGTGCACTTGATAGAAGTGCGTGGATAAGCTGCTCATCCGTGACATCGCTGCTACAGCAAAGCATGATGGCACAGTTTATCACGCACCTTATCCAAGGCGTATCCAAGCTTATCCACTATCAAGTGACGTCACTTCGGGTGAACACACCCAACTTTCGGATATCACTGATATTTACTCGTAATCTAGTCCTGAGTTTGTGAGAACAGTGTATCTGGTTGGAGGCGGCCTTCAGTTGTCCGGTTGCTTTTCCCTACTCAACAATGAATTCAAGATCACATCTATTAGATATGGGTCTTACTACAAATCTTACTAAACTGCAGGTCTAACTACAAATGGCCACCTTGACCCGAAATTAATCCCCGGTGAAAAGTAATCAAAAAAAGTTTCTCCAAGACTATGAATATTTCAGAAATTTACCTCTACAGCAAACAGTATATTGATCACAGCGCTCAGAGCTGTAACAGCAAAAAGTATTGTGCTTCTCTCGCCTTCCTCCTCGACATTCCACGGAACAACTAGACACGCCGAATTGAGCAGTACCAGGAATGCGAACACCTGAACACTATCAATACACGAGAAATGGAATAAACCATTCTGAGCTTAGAATGACTGCTATGTTACTCCATGGATTTCGCACATAGCCAGATATCAAGGATTGACCAACATGTTGCTGTCTCCAAAAGAAACATTTCAAGGAATACCTGGCTAAATCTACGGCTCAGCGTGAGTTCGTAAAAGACAGTGCCTAGTCGAGCCGATTCAGATGGCTTTGGAGGTACATGAAGCGGTTGTGCCATCTTCAAACGAGCTTTCAGATCATGCCAACGTCTCTGGTCGACAGTCAGCAGCGCTGTTCCCTTGAAAGTTGTTAGGATTAAGATGAGATACTGGGAGATATTATGCGAGAGACGTACTCGATTCTCCGTGTAATTAGCAATCACAACACCGACAAACAGTGTCAGTCCAATCATACAACCAATGAAGACGTAGATATGAATGAAAACAACGGCCCACTAAAATTTCTTCAGAATTTTTCACGGTAAAAAACAATTAAGTATTATGGGTGGTTTTATGGGTCATAAGCAATTTGCTTGCGGTGGCGCAGTCTCATTGTTTTAGGTGTGCACTAGGCGGGTGACGCCTAGCTCACCGAGTCGCGGGATACAATCAGCGCAGCGGCGCAAGCTTATTCTACCGTATT